GTGAACAAATTTATTTAGCGACGCTGGTTACAACGCAAAATTGCACAAAAATGTTTAAAAATGTTACTTTTGTTGTACAGATTGCATATTTTTGCATCAGACCAAATAAAAGTAGAGAGAAACAAAATAAGTTTTTGCTTTTTTTTAGCAACTTTTGAGCAACTTTCGTTACAAAAAGCAACTTTTGACTTTTTTTGGCGCAACTTTCGAGCAACTTTTTGAGAAATTTCGGGAAACTTTTTGGGAAATCTCGAGCAACTTGTGGCAAGCCCTAAATGAGACCATCGACAAAAAAGCCCTTCATAACTTATGTTTAAAGCAACTGTGCCAGCCGCAACGGTCATAAACAGCATATCGAGTTTTTGGTCAGGTCATAAATAGAGCAGGGAAAATCGCAGGTTTTGGTCATAGGGTAATAGGGTAAGGGTTTTGGGAAGCGAGCCGCACAACCTCATCCCACCCAATTTTTCTGCGAGTACCCCTCTCCCCTCGGATTAGTGTACTGAAAATTATTCGTACATGAGACAGCTCGAAATATCACCTTTTTTTGGCTTGAGGCCAAAGGTTTGTCGGAAATTTTCGTCCCGAATTTCCTAACTGACATTTCATAACTAGTTGGTCAACATTAACTTGAAAAGTGGTTACAAATCTCTGAAAGGTGTCCCGGCCTTCACAGGTCTGCGCCGCGTTACAGGTTATGTTAGTAAAAATTATTTTAAGATTTTTACTCTGAAAAACTGAAGCTGGAAATAATCAGCCATAGCTCTTGACAAATGGGTGCGCGAGAATTCTGTCAGTTAAAAGTAAAAATACCTGCAACCGTAAACTTCCGAAAGTAACAACCCTTCCCGAAAGTAACGTCAAAAAATTGTGGCCGCAGGTGAATCTCGAAAGCAGCGAGCCCACTCCAACCCCCAACCCAGAAAATGGCGAGAACAAGGTTCAAAAGAATATTTATTTGTCTAATTAATAGTCAAGGGTAAGTTCCGTATGGTATTATAGTTGATAATTATGATTAAGGCACTCCACAACAAGGGAAGGTATCGATAATTCAACAAAAACCGGAAAACTTTCATGGAGTAACAACAACGTACTTACAGAAAATTTCATCAAATTAAAATTGAAACCTCTGTGCCATTTTTAACACTNATTAAGGCACTCCACAACAAGGGAAGATATCGATAATTCAACAAAAACCGGAAAACTTTCATGAAGTAACAACAACGTACTTACAGAAAATTTCATCAAATTGAAATTGAAACCTCTGTGTCATTTTTAACAGTGCCGTACTTAAAGGCGAACATTTCTTTAAACTATAAGTGAAAACTCGACCGGCGCACTGAGATATTAGAGAGTTTAAGCATGACGTTTACGGCAGACGGCAAACGACAAAGATGTCCTCTGATTTTTTATTCTTTTCTTCTGATCCTTAGATAAATCACACAAAAATAGAAAAATGTCTACTATTCACCGCAAATACAAATATTTTCACTCTACTGTACAGATAGCTGAAGACGGACGGCAAAAGTTTCATTTTTGCCGTTTGCTGTTTGCCGTAAACGTCTTGCTTAACCTCTCTATTGATACAGCAGACTAAAGTTGCAGTGCGTCAACTTACTACTTTCCTGCCGACCAAAAACGCGATCTAGACTTTAATAGCCCCCCATGTGGCAGCGACAAATTTAAAGAATGTCAGTGTTCAGGGCTATTGTCACGAATTTCCGTCTGTTTTTTCCGAGAAAGCACTAAGCGGCACCAACTTTATACATCGCTCTTTGCTCCCCGAAAGAAGCGATCCCTTGAAAGTAACGACCC